GTGTGCGCGTGTGTTGTGTAGGGGGAACGGTAGTGTAGTGCTTAGCGTGCTGCCTGTGTGTGTGTGTGTCTGTGTGTGTGTCTGTGTGTGTGCGTGTGTGGTGTGTGGGGAGCGGTAGTGTAGTGGTTAGCGTGCTGTCTGTGTGTCTGTGTGTGTGTGTCTGTCTGTGTGTCTGTGTGTGTGTGTCTGTGTGTGTGTCTGTGTGTGTGCGCGTGTGGTGTGTGGGGAGCGGTAGTGTAGTGGTTAGCGTGCTGTCTGTGTGTGTGTCTGTGTGTGTGTGTGTGTCTGTGTGTGTGCGTGTGTGGTGTGTAGGGGGAACGGTAGTGTAGTGCTTAGCGTGCTGCCTGTGTGTGTGTCTGTGTGTGTGTGTCTGTGTGTGTGTCTGTGTGTGTGTGTCTGTGTGTGTGTCTGTGTGTGTGCGTGTGTGGTGTGTGGGGAGCGGTAGTGTAGTGGTTAGCGTGCTGTCTGTGTGTCTGTCTGTGTGTTTCTGCGTGTGTCTGTGTGTGTGTGTCTGTGTGTGTGTCTGTGCGTCCGGCAAAACAACCTCCTACCTCCTCGCGGTGCCGGACGGGCAACACTGTCGTGGGCAGTGCTGTGGGGGGAGGGCCAATGCCCATTGGCCTCTCCCCTCATGGCGTCTGTGACCACCACAGTGGCTAAACGGGGGCTCTGGACGGGTGTGAGGGGCTGGTAACCCCTCCACCTTCAATTCATTACCACTAAACCACGAATTAAACATAAATCTGTAACAAATAAGCTTGTGCCGGAGGCCCCGGGGGGTCAGGCTTTTATGACGTCTCCTGGCCAAACCCCATTTGGCGGAGCCAGGAGATTGAATTTTCACCCTCGGGGCTCCTCCAGAAACAACAAAAAACCATTGCGGATGGCCACGTGGAATGTTCGAACGCTCACTGCGGAGGAGAGGCTGCCACTCCTCTGTCGGGAGCTGGACCGGTACCGCCTGGATCTCTGTGGCATTCAGGAGGTCCGGTGGACTGGTTCTGGCTCCTGCCACCATGAGGGGTGGACAGTCCTCTACTCGGGGCAGGAGACTGCCAAACAACAGGGTGTGGCTCTTCTTCTGAACAAAAGAATGAAGGGGGCGTGGGAGCGTGGCGGTGAGGTGTGGGAAGCTGTAAGCCCCAGGATACTTTGGGCTCGCCTTCCCATCAACCAGAGGCGAGGAGTGGTGGTCGTGGTTACTTATGCCCCCACCGAAGACGAACATCCGTGGAGGGATGCAAGCAAAGCCGATGAGTCAGACGCTTTCTATGACCTCCTGTCACAGGTGCTGGCTAAAGTGGCCACTCGGGACAGAGTCATCTTGTTGGGTGACTTCAATGCCCGAGTTGGTCATGATGCTGACACCTGGTCTGGAGTGATTGGAAGGCATGGGCCAGATCAGCTCAATAATAACGGTAGGAGGCTGCTAGATTTTTGTGCAGCCCATGGGCTTGTAATTACCAACACGCTCTTCCGGCATCGGCGCATCCACACAACATCATGGATACATGCCGGGTCCAAGCAAGAACATCTGCTGGACTACATAGTGACGGACCAGCGGATGCGAACCCATGTCCTTGACACCAGGACCTACCGTGGAGCTGATCTGTCCTCTGACCATCGACTAGTCATCTGTAAGATGCGCCTGCCTTTCTTCCACTCCGGTGGTGGGTGTACACCCAGGATCCCATTCCAACCAAAAGTGGCCTGGTCTCAGTTAGCTGATGAAAGTTGCAAGCGAGAATTTCATCATCGCTTGCAGCTGGGGTTGGCATCGTCCCCCACTCCACCTGATGTCGAGGGTAAATGGGCGAGGTTTAGGACTGTGACTCATGCAGCTGCAATGGCTGCTTTGGGTACGCGGTCCAGACCTCCCCAGAAACCCTGGCTGACAGAGGAGGTGTTCAGGTTAATTGAGAAAAAGCGACAGGCCCACTCTCATCGCCTACAGCATCCCACGTCAGAGAATGAGGAGGTTTACCGCAGCCTTCGCTCGGAAGTTCGGAGAGCCGTAAGGCGTTGTAAGGATGGGTGGTGGTCGCGGGTTGCTGAGGAGATGGAGTCTGCCTCAGTGGCCCGTGATCACAAATCACTATTTAACTCCATCAAAAAAGTAACCTGCAGCGCCACACCTATTACCATCATTAGAGGAAAAAACGGTGATCCAATCTCCGACCCCCAGGAACAGGTTTGCAGATTTGCTGAGCATTTCTGTGAGGTCCTGGGGGAGGGAAATTCTCTCAGCCAGGAAAACATCATGGCACAAAGTGGGGATAACCCTGCTGAGGCTGCGGTGCCTCAAATATTGGAAGAGGTCACCCCCTGTGAGTGGCTGGCTGAGGTTCCAGCTGTTGAGGAAGTACTGAGGGCGATCCGGAGTCTGAGACCAGGGAAGGCACCGGGCAGAGATGATCTCCCAAGCGAAATGCTGAGGGAGGGTGGCGTTTGTGCACAGACTGCCCTATATGACATCATAACAACAGTCTGGACCACTGGACGGGTTCCGCAGGACTGGAAGGATGCCCTGGTGGTCCCCCTCTTTAAGAAGGGGGACCGCACAGACTGTAACAACTACAGGGGCATCTCACTCCTCAGTGTGCCGGGTAAGGTCCTGGCAAGGATTATTCAACATCGCCTTGCTAGGCACGCTGAGGAGGGGCTTGCGGAGCCCCAATGCGGTTTCAGGAAAGGGCGGTCCTGCACAGATGCCATATTTTCTGTCCGTCTGCTACAGCAGAGGTGTAGGGAATTCCAAAAAGACCTACATCTCTGCTTTATTGACCTGGTCAAGGCCTATGATACCATCAGTAGGACTGGACTCTGGGTTGTTCTTCGTGCTTTCGGAGTCCCTGACCCTCTGCTCACGATCATTAAGGACCTTCATGATGGTGAGCGGGCCCGGGTAAAACTACGTGGCCGGGAGTCGGAGCCTTTCCCTGTACACCTTGGGGTGCGACAGGGATGTCCTCTGGCTCCCACATTATTTAACATCTATTTTGACCGCGTAGTTCGTGAAGCCTTCAATAGCTGTACCGGGGGAATTTCCGTTTGGTACAGATATAATGGGAGGCTGATCGACGCCCGGGTGCGATCAAGGGATGGCTCCCTATTGGTCAACCACGTTATGTATGCCGATGATTTGGTAATAGCTGCTCATTCAGAAGAGGAGTTGGAGGCGCTGCTGCTGAGACTGGAGCGTGCCACTAAGAGGTGGGGCCTTACCATCAGCCCCACCAAAACCAAGCACCTGCCTGGGTATTTTGTACCATCGGACACTCCACCCCCACAACTCCCAATTGGTGATGGGGCAGTTGTGGAGAGAGTGGAGAGTTTCCCATACCTGGGCAGTGTGCTTATGACCGGCTCCAGTCTATCAGCAGAGGTCTCACTCCGAATCAGTCGAGCGGCAATATCTTTTCATCGGTTGCGTAACGCTGTGTGGAAGCTACCTGGTCTGTCGCTCCGCACGAAGCTTCAGGTCTTCTCGGCCACGGTCATTCCCTCCCTTCTCTACGCTTGCGAGACGTGGACCCCCCTGGTGGAGCATCTTCGCCGGTTGGAAACATTTAGGCTGGCCTGCCTACGATCCATCCTGGGTTTAACCAGGCTGGATTGTGTGAGGAGCTCACAAATCCTTGAAAGATCTGGGCAAAGTCCCATCAGTGAGCTCCTCCGGCAGGCAAGGCTGCGTTGGCTGGGTCATGTAGCCCGCATGCCCAGCCACCGCATGCCTAAACAGCTTTTGTTCGGCCGGATCGAGGGGGCTAGACGGGCGCGGCACGGGCTGGAGAAGAGATGGAGTGATGTGGTACAGGAGGACGTGGAGCTGAGTGGACTTGCCGATGACTGGTACCAGCGGTGTCAAGATCGGCCTCAGTGGAGGAGGCTCGTGAAGGACGCTACTGGGCAGTTGGAGGCAGTCGCCCTCCAACAACAACGGAGGGCGGAGGAGCGACGCTCACAACAACGAGCGGAGCGCCGGGTGGCTAAAGCACAGCAAGTTGGCACAGTAGGGGGCACAGGTGGTGCATCAGCCAGTCATCTCGGTCATCTCGGTCAGTCGACCAGTGGCACCTGGGTCTGCCCCGTGACCTCCTGCCAGCGGGCTTTCGACACTTCACGTGGCCTCAAGGTGCACTTGGCCTGGCACAAGCATCGTGGTGACGTCACCGCCACTTAGTGGCGAATGGCGGTTGTTGTTGTTGTTGTTGTTGTCTGTGCGTCTGTGTGTGTGAGGAGCGGTGGGTGTAGTGGTTAACGCTACGCTGCGCTACCAACCCGGCGAACCGAGTTCGATTCCCGCTCATGGCCACCACCGGTCAAGATTTTTTGAACCTCCCATAGGTCGACTCAGCCTCAAACGAGTAACTGGTGTGGCGTATTAACATCGCCACTGGGGAGACAAAGGCGGCCGGCCGTGGTGGATACAAGTCCCGGGCGAAGCCGGGTAGTACAGCTAGTTAACATATAAAATTGTTAAAACCATGGAATCATGTAATGTATCTTTACATGTTTCTTTGCAATTTAAAGTATACACATTTTTATTGGTATTCTGCAAGACAGTACAAGCTAAAGCACTGTTTTCAATTCCATCTTGACTGTTTATTCCTATTGATGTAGCATTTTTAATTATTTACAATTTAACGTTAATATTTAAACATGTTTTACATATTTAGTGTGATTAAATACTTAATGTATGACTGCATGTTGTTTCTATGATTTTCACTATTTCCCTGTGCATAAAAATCAATGATATACGTCAAACAATCCGATGCAGAATTTGAATCCAGTTTTCATTCCCATCATTTGCCATTGCGGCAATGTTAAGCCAATCTCTCAAAGTGGCAGACTGGATCAGTCGGAGAAATGTACAATTATGATCAGATACGATGGCGACACCCCAAGTGGACATTAAGTTAGGAACAATGTACCATGAGTGTTCCGGGAAGAAGCGGTGGTCAAAAATATCACGAACGAGAGAGTAATCAGAGCGTATCATCGGTATTTAAAAAACTTTTATTTGACGTTAACAATGTTAAGAATGATTTGGAATTCCAACGTACATTATATTACTGACCATTATAGCAAGTTTCTCAAAGGAGACCTGAGAAAAAGTATGCTTAAATGTCTTGAAAAACCTCTTTAACACCTTTCAACTGTCTAATGTAAGTGTATGTCATGTATTGTGTATGAATATAAAATACATGGGGGACACAATGAAAAATACTTATTTAGTTTCACCCACACATTTTATTTACATAAAGTCCTTATATAAAATTGGGGGAACATACAAAAATATATCTTAAAAAGTAGTAGAGGAACACAGGCAGTATTTCTTCCGAATGCATGATAAACTATACCAGTATGTATACCAGTATAGAAGAATTACGGGTTCATATAAAATTTCCAGAGTTATAACATTGCTGTTTTTCAAATTGACCTTGCATTGTGCTTCATACACTTTAAAAACCAGCCTTGCTTAATTTACAAATCTATATAATGTAGGATGAGGGGATTGAAGAGGCTGACCATGAGAATTGCGATAATCGTAGAGGCATGAATGAAAGTCTCGGCAAGTGGCTGAGTTTAGAGTAAATTGGAGGTATTGCGCAGGTGGAGGAGGTATGACGACCTGCAGAGTTGATGTCGGTGACAAGCAAACGAGAGCTCGGATCAATGACAACGAAAAGGTTTTGCAAATGAAAAACCGTTGTCGGGAAACCAAGACAGAGTGGCTCGATAGGTAAGAGTGGAAGTGTGAGTGATCTGTGGTGCCAAAAGCAGCAGAATTATCTAGAAGTGGTAGTTAACCAGTGAATCAAAATGTATTTATAGTTGCATTGCCAGAAGAGAAGAGAAATGCAGCGCTGGCCACGTGCAAATAATACACAGCGTGCCACAACAACACCCGGAAATGTAAAATACTGTATAAAAAATACAAGTCCCACTGCGTAGAATTAAATGTAATATGAGCGCAATACAATTATGGGATTGCATGGGTATTCACCAATAACACAATGAGGCCATCTTCTTGGTTCTTTCAGTAAAGTCACGTAGAAGGGAAATAATAAAATAACAATAAAATAAAAATTCTCACGATTTTTCGGCCATAACACAAGCAGCCGTCCTCAGGTGAAGAAACAGAGCTGTCAGAAAGACAGCGTCCCAATGAACACCGCCAAGCTTGGCAGCGTATATTTAAGCTGGGTCGGGGGAGGAGAGCGCCTTGACAAAGGAGTTTACATATGAACAGCGAAATTAAGCATATTGATGGAAAATGCAGATATGGGATTAGTTACTCCTTGTGTAATGTGTAGGTGGTGAGGCCATTTGCCAGCTATGGCTGCAAAGTTTGGTCGTACATGTTGTGTATATCGTTTATTGTTAAATTTGAATCACAGTTCCTATGATTACTGTTACATTGTTTATATAGCTTTATTTGGAGGATTTTGAAAACGTTTTGGTTTAGCCATGTTTGTTTGTTGTAGTACAGAGTTAGCCTGATAACTTTAATCTAAATTGTCTTATGGTTGTTATTGTTTGACTTGCATCCCACTGGGATTTTTGCACACAACCTTGAAATACGGTGTTTTTTTCTGGAAGACTTTGCTGTTTTTTCCTGGATTTTACTGTTGCGTGTAGTCACTTTAAGATGTTTCTTGTTCATGTTTTTGTTTGTTGCGGTTGCACCCGAGTCAAGAGCCGCATGGGCTCACAGGGCTATACCTAATACATGAAACTGAAACAATTAATGTGGGTCAATAATCAGCACAAATGACTCCTGTAGAGTGCACATATGGAATTTGTGCTTTTAAACAGCACACATTTCTCACCTCAGGATAATCACGTATTTAACATTTTTAAAAAGTGCATGCAATAACTGAACATAAAACATGGAATATGCATAAAAACTCAATCAACATATGTATTTATACTGGAGGAATCTGATGAGATGTAAATATCTTTTTCATACAAACATTTTTGGAGAAATTATTATTCACCACCGGACTGCAACCAAGACAATATAAGATAATAGCATTCCTTTAAAAATTTGAATATTCTCAACTTGATTTAACAGAAATGTTGAAACAGACTAGAGTATTTTAGTCTCTGCAAAAAGTACAGTTAATCTGTAGAAGCCAATGAAACCATGGCATTTGTGCTTCAGGGATCTTACGGGCATTAAATCATTCATGCATATTCTTCTTATGCATTAATGTCACCATATAATTAACTTTAGCTGTGCCTTGACTTTTGAAGGTAATACGTTATTCCCATACAAATGCAGCAAACAGGTCCACTGCATAGGGTTTTCTCGGCCATGCCGTACAGCTCTCCCGATGTGCTGTTTGTGTTGATCCACGTGTGGTTTCCGCGTAACGTTCAACATTTCGCTCTATTTGCTGGGAGTTCAGTTCCTGAAATAAGTGGAGCGAAGCGTCAGACATCACAACCCGAAAATGCATCAGAGAGCGAAAAGGGGATACTTTCCGAAAGCTGTAAAAAATCCTGGCAGTGGGATACAGAGGAAGACAAACAACGACACATTCTGCGCTCACTTCCCAGGGCATCAAGCGCCAAGGCATTGGGAGTCGACTCGAGCTCCTAAATAAGCCACCATATAGTCATCAGGAACATGGCGACTCCATTGAGAATGGCCATGCTGTAGGCCATGTGAAATGAATGACCCGTCATCTTGCTGCAAGACAAGAAACACACGACACAGGTTAGGGCATGCTGAAATGTCACACGCCAATCAGGCAACTTTAAATTACAATTTTACATTGTCTACTAGGCACATATATATTCATTTATCAATTAAAATCGTTATTTGCACTCGTGTTACATGCATTCAATCAAGTGTGTCAGAATAGATGATGTATGATTCGTGTGTTGGATATGACTGGTTGTCGAAAATCGTGCAGCAGCTATAGATTATACGTGCACAACAGGGCAAAATAAAACATTCAACATCGAGCTTAAGCACAACCCTGAACAAAGACAATTTACGGAGTTGTGGAAATGAAACATCACATTCCTAGCTGATGAGGTGTATTTTATTTTAACAAAAATTAATTTAGCTTAAAAAAAGAATTATCATGCCCAGTGTTCATGGGTGAGAACAAGTAGACACCAAGAACCCTATTCCTGTAACCCAGGTGATCCTGATGAGCACTGACGCACATCATGTTCGTAACACAGCAGAAAATACACACACACACACACATTCTCACTAACTACCACCTGCCACCGATCAGTGACTAAGCGGCCAGAATGTAATTGCTTTCAATGTTGCTGGGGCATATCATGAGCCAAGACTGAAACATGCAGGAAGGAAAAAAAAGCAATTCCCTGCCTGTGGGTTGCAAAAAATGAAATTGGTGGAAGGAGTGACAAAACTGCCACCAGTTTTAATAAAGCATTTCATTAAATTAATTAGATGGGTAGATTGGTTGTTCATTAACCCTCCAATTTTGCACCAAGCCAAATGAAATGTTATTAAAGTGCTTCTCTATAATTTAATTGTTTCCGCACATTGCCATGGCAATGTATTTTCAAAAGCAAGGGATGGTTAAATGACATCGCAAACTCCCATTGCATACCTTGTTGTCTATGGCAGCAATTACCGACTAGAATCACCCAGAAATGTCTGTCCATCTGGCGTGTGACGTCACTCCACATGAGGCCCCCCCTCATTAATATTCATGAGTGGGTGGATTTTTACACAAACGCAGAGGAAGGTTGAGCCGAATTAAATAATTTATTACGCAAAGTCGCTTCAAATATGACGTTTCTTTACAGAAAGTGACGGTGAAAAATAAATCTACGCAGCACAGTGCTACATCCGTGCGTGACGTCACTGCAAAAGAGGGCCCCCCCCTTCATTAATATTCATGCCCGCGTGGAAATTTACACTAACGCGCTCCACATGCTGCACCCCTCCCCTCATTAATAATCATGAGCAGGTGACGTCACTCCACATGCCGCACCCCTCCACAATAACCATGAGGGGGTGACGTCACTCAGTATGCCGCACCCCTCCACAATAACCATAAGCGGGTGACGTCACTCCACATGCCGCACCCCTCCACAATAACCATGAGGGGGTGACGTCACTCCACATGCCGCACCCCTCCACAATAACCATGAGGGGGTGACGTCACTCCACATGCCGCACCCCTCCACAATAACCATGAGGGGGTGACGTCACTCCACATGCCGCACCCCTCCACAATAACCATGAGGGGGTGACGTCACTCCACATGCCGCACCCCTCCACAATAACCATGAGCGGGTGACGTCACTCAGTATGCCGCACCCCTCCACAATAACCATGAGGAGTGACATCACTCAGTATGCCGCACCCCTCCACAATAACCATGAGGGGGTGACGTCACTCCACATGGGGCTACCCCCCCCCTCATTAATAATCATGAGCTGAACAATTTTTCTGTGGAATATTTCAAATTTACTGCAAAATACACCCGTCCTGGGACGGGCAAAAAAGCTAGTTGTTAGACAAGACCCAACCTTGGTTTAACATGGGTTACAAGGCCTCCCCCTTTGGAATTCTTACACGACACGTTGCTAGGATGGTAAATATATTTCTTGATCGTTATCGTTACAACAGTTTAGCCCAGATATAACAACCTCTACAACAACACGAACGCATCTTGTCATGGAAAAAACCTGGAAGAGATAAGCTGGTAATTTGCCAATTTGCTTTTGTTTTGGAAATGAATCCATGACACAGCACACGTGTCTTAGAAGGTAATATAATTGCATCTTACAAAGCTACACATGCTTACAGACAGCTCAGTGTAATCAAGCGTTTGTACCCAGAGAGCAAGCCCACTGTCCTAGTCACCGATATCCCTTAAATTATTAATTTACGGAAATAAATTTGGCTGTCCACTATCTAATTTTAATTGCATCTACAGGCTAACACGCAATTTAAAGCGAGTTAGAATGTGTTAATTAAAAGAAACAATCAACCATTGTCACAAAATAATGACTTCCTGGAACTATAGATATTGTAGCCAATGGCAAGCTCATTAATCTAAAATTAATTAAAATAGTTATCCAATGAGCATGGCTATAATATAAATTGCTATGCAATGTTATGGTTTCTACAAGGAGGGTTATGTCCCATACATCTTGCTTATTATTTGTGATTTCAAAAGTAAAGTGAAGATTAAAAAAAAATTGAATGTTCCAGGCGCACTGGAAGTAATACACTTTTAAGTAGATGACTGTAATCAAAATAGGCAGGAAGAGAATAAATAATATCCACAGAAAAACACCACTCGTAGATGCCCATGAAAATAAATACACACCAATGTTAAACTACAAGACTAACTTAAAGAGCAATTTTAGGTTCAAAATACAGTATTACACTGTTACATTTTACAGCATACTCGATTAGAAAAAGGTTTTGCTGGCTGACTTACTGCCTGGATTCCGAGCTAGCTGGCTGACGGCAAGTGCACGTATCCCGCACATGTGTGCGGCCAGTGCAATGCTATCTTATTACATTAGAAAAAGTTAAACCACGCTCGAATGCGACATGGGAGGTGTGTGTACACCTTCCACGAATGGACGATCACAGAATAACCGTTCTGTGACTGAGGGGATGAAGCACGGATATCCCAAAAGACGTGTGGCCTGCTAGTCAAGTTGAAAATACCGTGCAGTGTACTATAGTTATGAAAGTGATGAGGTTTTTAACACGCATTTAAAAACATACTTTTGTTGACGTTACTAACCAACAGTGTCATTGCATTCATTCACTGGTAGCTTTAATAAAACAGGCCACATTTTATTCCGTTTCCTATCTCATAAACTAACAACTCATTGTGTACACACAAGGGCAAATCAAGCATCCGCAAGAGTGGAGTTTATTTTGTTTAACCTGATGGGAACTCCAGCAATGCAGATGGTCTCATTTGTTAGAGTGACCTGGGCCACCAAGATGACAAGAGCAATACAATAACAGACACCAATAGAGCAAATATAATATCAGAGAAAAGACAATCGCATTAAAGGACAAATTTAAAATACTGCACAACCAGAAATGAGTATTAAAGAAAAATAAATGTCCTGTAATGTAAGGTGACTCGGTCAAATTACTTTGACACTGTCCGCAGTAATTAAATAACATAAATATAGAACAGCTTCAGGGCGATTATTGCACTAATATTCTTTGGTTCTTTCGGTAAAGTCACGTAGGTAGAAAAAAAAAATTATCACATTTCGATCGCAACACAAGCGGTCATCCTCAGGCGGAATTTTTTTTATAATCCAGCAGTGGAACTGCTGAACCAGCGAGAGAGCTGTTACAACAAGGAGGTTATTTATGTGGCGATGGGCAAGCAGCGGGGTCTGAGCTGGAAAGGAATTCCATCCCCGGACGCAAGCACGTCTGTTGTGTTAATGGGGGAGATTAGGGAGAGAAATTAGCATGAAATTAGCTTCCGTCGTCGCATAACAGTATCGTGCCCACATATGCGCACAACAGCAGTGTTAATGGGAGATTAGCACGATGTTGATGGGAGAGATTAGGCAGGGAGATTAAGGCAATGATATCTGTCAAATAAAATCGTTAGTGTGCCTACAGTACAATAACATATAGAACGTGGATAATCTGCGCTCAAATATTTACAAATTCTAAAATTGTCAGTGACACTGCAGTTTGCAGATACTCTCGTCATCTATCGGGGGAGGGGGAAGGGGGATGTGAATCCTGAAATCTGTTTTTCTCGCGGATGAACGGAGGATGAACGGAGTCACGGGGATAAACACTCCGAAAATGTGTGAGACACCGGGCTGGCGCGATTTTTACTTATTTATTTCTGCCGCGGTTTGTGAATTAACCACCGCGGGCATCCCGTGCATTACAGTAACAGAGTTTGACTGAATTGTAGGTGGCACCATCTAGGGGCTATCACCTGCAACGAGATAAACTCAGGGGATGAGCAAAGAGACTTTAGTTCCTAAAGACTAAACTTGATACAGTATATTAAAATGACAGCAAAAGTTGTAACCATTAGCTAATACTTCTTACTGATAAATACAATCTACACTGCATAAAAGGTACAAGGTCAGCCCTGCAATTGCTGGCTCGAGCCATTGCCTCAGCTAGAGGGATCCCCAGAGAACGCCTCGAGGACATTTGGCCTACTCTTCCACGCTGGGCCAGACATCTTGGAAGGGGTGGGAGTACCCACAATTCACCCCACTGTCTGCGACCTGCCGATACACGAACCGTGGTGTACCCACTTATAGTGCTGAGTGGACAGAGGCAGGCAAGCAGAGGGATGTATAAGAAATCATTGTTTCAATTTTTCAAGCTGGGAGAGATCAACCATTTCATCACGTCCGCATTCTACACTGTATATGACATTCAACCATGTAATGAACTAAAGAATATTATAGGAAGAAAATGACATGGCTCAGTGGATAGACGCGATGGCTAAGGAGGTGGGAATTCTAACCAGGGCTTGGTATTGAATTGGGCCGCCTCGTCGCTTCTTACCCTTTCAGCGACAGCACCTCCACGATTTTTATATACACATAATTATTTTCCAAATTAACAACACCTAAGCCTTGCTCCCCACCCCCCTCCCCCTCGGTGCCTTACCCACCTGCTGCAATGCCAATTATCTGCTCCACTTGCAAAACAGTGGCGCCTCCCGTGTCTATATTAGAATATAAATCACCTTTGTGAGAGGTGCTCTTCTGTCAAACTAGGGGTCGATAAAATCCTTGACCCATGTGAGCTTAACGTGAGCTAATCTCCGTGTGGTTTGTTCCGCTGTGCGGTACTCATTTGTGTCCTGGCTACACAAGCAGCTTGGTGCACGTTTTAGGGAAAGTCAGTCACAGATGATTTGTTGCGAGTGGTTAATTTTCCTTTCACACCAAATCCTCATCTCTGGCAGCCTGTTCATTAAGCAAAAAAGTGGTTATGGGCTCCCAGACAAAATGGCCTAATTATGTTACAAAGCAGTTTCATTATCACGATCATTATGCAGGGCTCTATATAATAGCAGATTCATATTTAATTTCCATACCATGTTCTTTTTTCTGAGAGTTCAATGCCTACGTTGAAGCGGTATCAAAGCAAAGATTGTTTTCCTAAAAATATTTGCCGAAAATTACTTTAGATGCTGACATTTTTATCATAAGTCAAAAGTAAAACACATGTACTTTCTCATGTGCACGTTTGAAGTAGATAACATTCTAAATAAGATCATCGTTTTATATACCAATCACATAATTTCTATTATTGGACAGGGGTGTAATTTTAATCAAGCTGCATTGACATTCAGGTGTGTCTGACAAAATCACCGTGCTGCAACCCGTTCCATTTTAACCATATTTTCCTCTCAAGTGGCTTCACCCGTTCATATAAAATGCCTGGTCTCTATAATCAGCAAGGCAGATGCTGCACCTGTTGGCTGAAATCTGACTCAACGGGGTGATTGAGTGATTGCTTCCATATTCCATTTAACAGTTATTAATAATTTAACATTGTTTTACCCTCTCGACACATGAGAATCCGACTGTCTTTGTGCCACAGGTTCTCAAAATTCAGTCCACGTGGCTCTCCATGATCTAGCTGGTCATTATAAACAAGTCAAATTGTTGCTACCGCCAGTTCACAAGGTAGCCTCATTCTCTAAATGAAGGCATCACCGCACTTACAATGGTTAATGGATACAATAATTTATATTTTTATTAACTCAAACCAGTATCAGTGTTGTTTTACATATTATTACAGTATTATTAACAAATAATAATTTAGAGTGCTTTGTTAATCAACTGATGGGCAGGCCTCACCAGACCGTGTCAGTCGTGGGGGTTGTTTAACCAAGCTTTACAGCGCTGGTCAATGCAGTTTTGTGAAGTGGGGGTCCAGGGACTGGTTAAAAAAAAAAATCACTCGCCACTGATGTTCGCTCTGGAAGGTAATCTACCTTAACTAGCTGGGTTATGACACCCCACCAGTCAACACCATTATTATTGATAACACCAATTCTGTTAATTTACTCTTTTGATTAACATATAATTCCCACACTGCCTTTGCAGCCAATAATTACATTTAAAGACCATTACAATACACGTTAATCCAGTAGCACATTCACGTTAAATACAGATTCATCATCAATAGACCACTAACAATACAAACATAAAACACTTATAATGTCGTGCCTCCTTACACTTTAATTTACAGTTGATGCACGCAAAGTCTTTCCGAGAAAAAGTAGAAATACGCAAAGTTTTGGACCTAATGGCGCTCATTCATAGCACATGAAGATGGGCGATTTGCGTGGAATGTTGCCGATCATATATTTATCTTTTAAAACAGCGTTGTTAACAAACGTGTCAAGTATTTATTACTTGTGCACCAATGAGAATACAGCATCACTAAATAATTTAAGTTCCTTCATGGACGTTTAAGAAAAAAAAAATGGTGCCTGCAATCCACAAAGGCCCAAAGTAAGACCAGCCATCACGATAAGCACCTGTAATATGTCGATAGCCTCGATAACGTACCTCCCGCGGGGTTCAGTGCAGGTTCATGAATGCTATTTACAATGCACTTGATGTTAAGGTTTATATTCTGTAACCTTTGAAAATATCTATCAGCTGGAAACTCCAAAGATGTTCTGAGCACTTTCCTTATCACTGTTTTGCCTATTAAACTGATTGGAACCAAAGACCAGGAGTATACTTTACAAAGGAAGTGTTGGTACATCATTACTTAAGTGAAAAGGTGCCCTAGAAGATTATTTTAAAGTAATTTCAAGACATGCAGTTAAAACAGGCGGCCGTTAACAGAATCATGAGTGTTTCGTGTAAAGAGAGCATTTATAGGACAGACTAATTGTTAATTACCATAATTTCAATTAGGTGAGAGCACAGCGAGACTACTGGCCTCTGTTTTAACGGAGACTTTGGTTCCAAAAGCAAAAAAATAATTAAAAGGCACAACACTTAAAGTTAAACATAAAGTGTGAAACACAATTCACACTTGCAAACGTCAGAGGCGACGAAGTGAAGTGATAGCGCTTAATGAGATGATGCGGCATGCTCCATGGTGACGTGAGGCACATCGCGGTTTGTTCTCAGCGAGATACGCACACAGCACGCAACGTGGAACGTGCGAGAAATCGCAGGGGCCTTCAAGAACACTCAACAATATTCTACAGCCGTTTCTAATGATCTACCTACGAAACGTACCCCAATATCCCAAACATAACAAAAAGCACTTGATAAAGTTTAGTCAAATAAACTGTACAACACATTGTTGTTTTACGTAAAAAAATAATTGCACTTTAAGAATAATAAACTGAAAGAACATCTTGAATTTTAAGATCAAGCAGAAACTACATCTTCCAGATTATTAAATGAAGGCCGACTGGTGAGGCTCTGCCACGAGGGGTATAATCAGTCATGAAATGTATTTACCCCTAATTCCTCCTCACCCCGAGCTATTCAAATAAGTCTAAGATTCAATAGTTTCCTTTGGTTTTACTGCATGTTTTGTACTTCTCATTTTTCGTCTCATTTTGAACAGCTTTGTCCACTCAATTTGCCATCATGAAACATTTTACGTGCAATGAACAAAGGTCATTGCCCAAAACGTAACCAAATGTTTTTCTTTTATGGAAGTGTTGTTGACAAGTGTGTTGAGGTTTTTAAATGTACCGTTAGTGTCTCAAATGAATTTCGTCAGCATAAATTGTAATCGATTCTTATAAATTACCATGTGCATAATTATTGGTTTTAATCAACAATTTTACACACCAATACATGATCAATCAATAATTAAATCCGACACACTGCAGCAGGGTCCTTACCGCAACCGAGCTGGAGATAGTGGTGTTGGAGGGAACATTCCTGGCTGAAAGGAGTCAAAGTAAGCCAGAGACCAGGAGAAACAGCAGCAGGACAATCCAGTCACCAGTGGCAGGAGGAAAGGACAACATAGACCTGTAACACAAAGTGTCATCAAATATAGGTGCAGGGCCAAAGGGCATCTGAGACCTCAAGACACTTCTCAGCCTTGTCACACTGAAAAACACCTGCTTCAGTAAGTCTTATATACAATTAAATGCGGTGTTCTCACCCTGCTCTGCATGAGTTTTCTCCAGGATATCCAGTTTGCTCCCATAGCTAAAACACAATATAACTGATATTGCTGAAAACTCACCTGCAAATTACTCGATTGGAATGACAAAATGCAATATAGCTCCCTACTGAAAAAATACTTGGCAGGACCCTCCTGAAAGAGTCCTGAGACTCCAATGAAGCTTTACTGGGTAGACAACTGTGATAACAAGAAATAATTAATGCTCATACAACTGCAGTAAGACTCTTGAAGGGACCCATTTACCTTTGCCAACACACCTATACAAATGAGGTACAAATGATTCCATAAATTAAATATTCAAAGGTAAAATTATTATTAGCTGCACATTCACAAGAATACTATTCTATGCTGTAGTGCAGAAGCAGGTGGTGAAACTATAATTGACACATTACAACCAAATAAAAAACTTACCCAAGATGCTTAGAATTACTGAAGAACCCTTGTTGTCTGTGTCTCCCGGATCAGCATCTATAAATAGATATAACTTAGTACCTGGAAGCAATGCAATACACATTTACAAACAAATGCCACCTGAAAACTAATTATATACAGATTATGTGTACCTAAGGCACTGAAGATGCTTTGGGAATCAAAATGATGAAATAAAGATAATACGAGCAGTATGCAGTGCCTTTGGAAAGTTGAACATGATCATGAAAAGGAACATAGCAGAGCGTCTGAAGAAAGCATTCAATCAGCATGTAATGCTATCTTTGACAGATGGATCTGAAACATGGATACCGACAAATAAAATGGAACAAAAACTTAAAAGTGAACAAAGATGCATTCTGTGACAAGAACATAGATCAGGGGGTATATCGATAAGTGCCTAGAATAAATCATTACGATCGCTTATAAATGTCAAATTTACTCGCGAAATTGAAGCTCACATCGGCATCTTACCTGCACTGGCAGAAACGAGCAACGCCCTGATCATGAGGGCGATGAGAGAGATGGTCACAAGGCAGGAGAAAATAGCGCTGTAGCGAGGAGCGCCGTACGAAGGATGTTGCTCCGGAGAAATCTCCGGTTGCTCCTCGCCTGGCCCAGAGGACTCGTCTGACACCTCCAGCATCTCTCTCTCCAGCCTACGAGCAATCTTTTCCGAATCGATGCCTCCTGGGTTCTCCATCGCAATGAAAAACTGCACAATTCACAAACAGTCCATTCTCGATTACGTGAGGAAATGGGGGTGGCCTGAATTTTTTTTTATTTGGGAATATAAATGGCAACATTTCCCCCTTCTGTGAAGGCTTGGTAGGACCCTCACGAAAAGAGTCCTGAGACTCAGTGAGCCTTTTGCCGGGTACTGTAAAAGAAGCGTATTGTTTTACATGAGCCATGGACAGTTGTAGGTTCAAAGGAACATTATTCTACGTTTACAATTTAGCTGTGAATAATTAAACATTCAATGATCACGGAGATTAATAATTGGCGACCTGAGATACATCAAGATCCATTTAAGACCACAATATTTTTAAGCTTTGACATAATAAATGTTGACTAGATTTAACAATACATTAATACAGTATGAAGTGAATAAGGCTAAGTAAAAAAAGGTTAATTGCACTTAAAATAAAACTTTACGAAAGGAAAGTGATGACATTAAGTGGGGGTAATTGAGAAATAAGACGAAACATTTTGCACTTTAGTAATAAATGGCTGCAATTAAGGTCTTTCATTGCCAGTGATCATTAAGTGTTTCAGTCTTAACTCGCCTGGCTATGTACTTTAATGTCTCATAATTAACAAAAAATTGCATAAACATTTTACAACTCTTAATGTGTTCGTGGGATCATATGCAAGTGAACAAAAGCTAGAAATGCACAAAAAAGGTTGAAATTACACAACGCACAGATCGGAGCACAAATAGTAAGTTGGAAGGCGATGGGCTTGGAGGCTTATCACGTTGATGGACCACCTCACCGTATTGATAAGCATCGCCTACCATTTGGATCATAACAGGCAGAGGGGGTGGTCTGCTTGAGAAGATGTGGGCCAATTAACTCTCACGCACGATTCTATTTCTTTCACGCGTTATTTTTGGAAATGGGGCCCTTTTGATCCGCACCAACACCTCGTACATTATAGCGGTTATGCAACCACTGCTCACAAAAGCTGTCAAAATTACAAAATCAGCGGCACCACGTGCAACAACTCATTACAGTGCAGTGCTAATTGTGTAACAATTAGAACCCCCTGCGGATTGTTAACGGACGGTGGCAATTTGAGAATAGATGTTCGCACCCAGTGGTGATCTTCGCGACTCTCAGTGGCCGTCGGGGTCACCGTGAACCCATCAAATGCCACGCGTGTGCCAGATGACACTCAATCCACTGCTGGATGAGGGCCTCCCCACGCATTGTGCCGTCTTTTCTTGGATTTTCTGTTTGCACTTAGTCAAATATTCACTTTAAGATGTTTTCTTGTTCATGTTTTTTGTTTGTTGCGGTTGCACCCGATTCAAGAGCCGAATGGCTCACATGGATATGCCTAATAAATTAACTTGTGCGTCTCTTCGGGGTTATTCGACCACACTTGCTGGTCCCCCCAACCACCCACCGCAACCTCCGATAAGCACGTGCGAAAGAGGTTCAACGTACATACTTCACCACACTGGTCAGTGGGGTGGGGGCCCATATAAGTACCTTACAACATTGAATTGCACTGCCCACAAACGTTAGCCCCACAGTCTGTCGTGCATGGTGGTGGTAGCCCATCAAATCGACATCCCAGGCATTCGGTTTGCTCGGCTTGTCCTGTGACATTGACGAGTCGACGACTATTCCACTGCTTGATGATGCCCGCCCACCACACCAAGTGTATACAAACAAAGATCCCCCGTGTAGCCTTAACAGACTGTAGGGGCAAGTGCTGTTAGCGAGCACCTATTAAAGCCGGAACAGCACACGAGGTGGTGGGTGGCCAACACCACGCACCGTCCGCCTTTGTCTCCCCAGTGGCGATGTTTACAACCCAGTTAACCAAAGTTAGATTTCCGGACCCCGGCTAACATCAGTGGCAACCCACCCCCCCCTCACGTCGTTGACCACCAACCCCCAGTGAGTGACGCGACCAGCGTGGTGAAGTATGGTCAAACAAGCACCGCGTACGACGCAAGCTTCGCGAGGCCTTGTGGATTATCTCGCCAAAACCCTCGACGCAATCGACTCCAATCCAACACAACTCACTCCTCGAACGACGACGACCACCAAGCACACCTGTTAAAGAGGGCTCGCGTCAACACACCACGAGCTGCGTGCGGGATTATCGCAAACGCAGCGCGACAGACGACGCCTCCCCAGGCACGCGAGGCCGCAGGCGGAGATGGCGCCGCCCTTTTATACTCGCGGCACCGAGAACGTCCCCACCCCCACGTCACTACCCGCTACGTCACTACCCCCTACGTCACCACCACCCCACCCCGCACGTCACCCACTACCCCACCCCCACGTCACCCCCCCCCCACTACCCTACGTCACCCCCGCCCCACGACCCCACTCCCCCACCACAACCGCCCCCACCCAATCAATCACCACTAACGCCCCCACCCCATCCACCACTACCCCACCCACCCCCCACCACCACTACTATACCCACCCCCACTACCCCAACACGGCCCCACCAATACCCACCCACCGTCTACCGCACCCACCCACCACTACCCCACCCAACCCACCACCACCACCCCACCTCACCCACCCACCACTACCCCACCCCACCCAACCCACCACTACCCCACCTCACCCACCCACCACTACCCCATCCACCCCACTACCACTACCCCACCCACCACTACCGTCCCCACCCCAGCCACCACTACCCCACCTCACCCATCCACCACTACCGCCCCCACCACACCCACCACGACACCACCCACCACCACCCCTTATCACCCACCCACCACCGCCCTCACAGGACCAACCCACCAACCCACACTGGAGTTTTGAAATTTCGCACAACTCCTCTAATCCGCGGTGAGATGCGGCGACCCAACATTGCGAATTTGTCATTTGGAGACTCCAGTTATCCATGAACAAAACTCGCTAGTGTTAGGAAGCACTATGGGCAAAATCGCGGACAATGCACAATGTCGTGTTCTTGCTTTTGCTGATAAGCCATGGCAATCATCACTTCACGATGCAAGCCGTGTTGTCTGTTTCTTGGAGATTTGTTGACAGATGATGTTCAGAAAAGGTTTGCTGGAGGCACTGGGTTATTGTTCGCACGACAGTATAACCAATTTCGCACAAACATGGCCCATGCGTCATCTGCTGGGAGGCTTTTGTGTTTTTAAGGTGCATGTGGATTGGGTTATTGGATCGATTCATGCTAGAGTTTCTTTCTTTTGGAAAGCAGTGGGCAGTAAATGTGAGTGCTAGCGAGATTACTAAAGCAGCAATTTTCTTCACGTCTACCCAGAGTGTAGTCATGAAGATGTTCGAAAAGAAACACATTTGACCCGCAATGCACTCATACCTTCATTAAAATTGTAGTGATTTTTCATGCAGGCAAATTATGCACAAAGCAAAAAATGAAAAGTTATGTTTTGACATTTTGCCAACTCACTACTCGATGAGGGCCTCCGCACCCACGTAGGTTATTTCACCATGCAGTAACTTAATTTACGATGGTCAGTGTGGGTTTAAGGTGGGGAACGTAGCATAGAAGTACAGGACAACACGGGATTTCGCTGCACTGCCCTCTTGATGCCCATAATGTAGCCCCGCAGCTGCCCGACGACCACGTTTGTGCAATAGTGGGCACCAAACCAAACTCTCTAGCCTCAACCCTGCTCATCTTCGGATATCTGACAGGATAGGATGCATACTGGGCGATTTGATCTCAGGTATTATGTTAATTTAAAGGGAAGTCAAAATGTGACGTGAAAAACTTTCAAGACAAAATGTGATATTTCGTTATAACATTACTGTAGCTGGATACAGTAGTGTATTGGCAGAAGTAATAGTTAAGCTAGTTAATCATGTACTATGAATAAGGGCCATTTGCCTGAAACGTCACCTACTATACATTTTTAAGGCAGTTTTATTGACAAATGTGTTTATAAAACAAAGGTACGCTTAGTGGACATCTGTCTAATTCTCAACTCGTGCTGCCATATATAAGCAGTCGTGGTAAAGGTCTAAATCCAGGGGACCTGCGGCTTCGGAACCGCATACGGCTCTTTAAATACTGTAGAGTATTTTCCCCGAATTAGGAAGAAAAAATGCTCTTGTTATTTTGTTTCCCGACCCCTGGTCTAAACCATTGATTAATAATCCGGAGAATACAGTAGTTGCAGCTTTTATAACTACTCAAATGCAGAATATGAGAATAGTTTTTCCCCTTTTTTCATGCAAACAAAAAACACTCTGCTAATATTTGCATTGTCTTTGAAACTGATTGGTCTACACCAGACAGCGTCCTCTGGTCTAACACCGTTTGAGACGAGGCTCCAAAAAAAGCTGTCGCTGGTGTAGACCAATCAGTTTCAAAGTAAATGCATATATTATCAGAGTGTGTTTTTTGTTAACATTCTGAGCACAAGTATTGTGGTTAATGCAGACATGATTCCTTGTAAAAGGTTTCAGTTTGGTGTTTTAACATCTTAACACCTGTTTTGTTGCCTGAAAAAAGGCGAAACCCTATTCTCATATTTTGGTACTGGCTAAGGAGGTCCCAAGATGATACTCAAATGCAATGTGGTTATAAAAAATGCAAGCACAACTGAAGAAAGTTATATTCAAACAAGACATAGCATGAAATAGGGCACAAAAGAGCTGTTTATTTCATGGCGACAGCAGAAACGCAAAGGGAACCCAGGCCAGCTCGTCACAAGTTTGAGTTACTGCATCACACATAACTTTCCAAACAGTGGTCAAAAACTACAGCAATTTTATGACTTTTTAGTTAGTTCCGCTAGAATGACGCGCTGCAATGGCCTGGGCACCGTAACTCAGGAGCAACCTTGAAAATAATAGTCATAAAATACACATGCAGATGTATCTGCGTTTTTGCCGTTTCACTAAAAGCTCCAACTAGAGAGAAAGATAGGTGTTGCAAAAGTGCAAGGACAAGCAGTCGTTCGGAATGGTACGCAAAGTGGCAAGTCCGTTTTTTTTTCTATCACTCACTGTTAGCGCTAGAATCTCCTGTGAGTTACACGCACAACTTCCCCGTGTACAGGAAAAAGCCAGCCTCACCTAATCGCACGAGTGACAAAAGGAAAAGGGATACAAATTTCCAAACTTAGCCTTCGTCACTCACCTACTGCATTTTTCATAAGTAAATAAGGTTTAGATATTTTTTACATTTAAAACATTAATTTTACGTATTTTTTGCCGCAACTGCGTTGATTTACAAATTCGCCATATTTTCAATAGCTGGCTTTTTACTGTAAATAAAATGGTACAGAGGCCAACGTCTATGACCACTACTGATGGGAGTGTCTGTACTTAAATAATTTTTAGAAGTTAAACATCAAACAGAATACTAAAAAATGTATGTAACAGTCTTAACTTTTTTGTTGTTGCTACACTTAAAAAAAAATATGACGAAAGCAAAAAGTAAGAGCATTTACAAAGCCTTATTATACAGTTCATATTCGTAGTTTTTGTTTTACTTAAGAGAGGTTGTTGGCTATCACTTTAGCATCCTAACTACAGCGTGTAAGCTAACGTAGCGCAACATTGCCAATACAGTATTTACAGCAACGGCTGCTCTGCGAACAGAAAATGTTCACAACACGGTGCCAAATCGCGAGACGGGTACAGGGCGAGCCAAAGCAAAGCAATGATCAAGTTGCGAAATGAGGGCCCTCCCCCCCCCCCTTTAGCTCCACCCAGGCCCATGGTTCAATGATGTTGGGTCCTTTTATTAAGCACATCCTGACAAAGCGAACCCACTTGTGCGTGGACATGCTCTCCAAACACACTTTTACCCCTTGAGCTCTGTTGGGGATTACGGGCCGGAATATGAAACGAAGAAGAAAAGTTTTGTCGGTTAAAAATAGAGGAACTGAAATAAGCGATAACTTTGAAAATTTAATTAAATGCCAGAGCCAGTAACATGTGGCCTCGGAAAGGTTAATCACAGATGCCCTTAGCTTTAAATTGTAATATAAAAAGGCATTAACATTTGTATTACTTGCTTATCTTGTGCTCCAATAGTGATTAATGACCAGTAAACGTTAACCCTGTCAATTACTGGATTGACCAAATAGTCATCTACACATTTTAAAGATCATTTTACATTTGTCGGGGGTTTAAAAAAAATTCCAGTACGTCAACGCAACAATGTTAGACATAATAATCCTAACAATGTTACAAAAGAAATGACCATAAAAAAAAGTTATATATGATCATTACTGAGAAGGTGTGGTTGCATAAATAGCATCATATAAGCTACGTAACAATTAAGACAACAGCGGTCAAGACCAGCTAATGCGTACATAGTTACAAACATCTGCGTTGTGCACCGGCTTTTACATTTACTTTGTAAATATGTAATATTGCATTATTTTTAACACCTATGGTCGATATCTAAAAACGAGAAAGTTGATGGATAATGTATTTGAGTTCATCCTGTCCCTTTATGAAAAGTGTGTTGAAAGTGTAAATAGGCTGCAAATGTCTGGACTGGACTTTCTCTCGAGGCGTTGTTTGCGAGTTGGTGTAGTGCCCATTTCCTCCTGGTCCCATCGTGTGAATTCCCATTCCTATCCCATGCCATGTTTTGGTAGATCAGTTGACTGTTAATTTGGCTGCTGAGTACATCTTTGATTTAAACTGATTTTGTGATTCTGGGCTTTTAAGTGCACGATAATGTAAGACTCAATTCGTATGTGTCTCAAAAATATTGTTTTGACCAATTCCTCTCGATAAAAGGAAACGGATTCAGCATTAACGTTCCTTGGTTTACTAGCACCTAAATCATGTATATTTACAAAGTTTAAGTTGTTATTTTGAACATTTTGAATTTCCAACTTCACTGCAACGTGTCTGCACTCCCATCAGACAGTCTTACAACATGACAGATTCATTCACGTAGTATGCACATACCCAATGCTTAGAAGCATGCCATGATGCCCATTTTAATAGCACAATTTTTCAGTCACAACCCAGTTTAGACTTGACACAATTTCATCTTTGTTCTCCTTAAAATTTCTCCCCAAAAGGATAAGACTTCATATTAGGCACTTTATGTTCCTGTTATGGTAACAATGACAAGTACAGTACAAGTTACCTGATTCAATTATACACCAGAAAATACAGAAGTGATTTAAAGTAAATCAAACGTCATTAAAGAAACCTCATTAGAGTACGAACATGAATTAAACCACTTAGGCCTCCAGTAAACTGAATCACTGTA